TTGATAAATTTCACATCTATGCATTTGATGCTCCGCGTCCTTTGCTGCAGCGTCCACACTAGCATTTAGTTCGCAAGCATTAAATCAATCAGTAATTCCTGTTAGTGGTCTGTAAAATGGCAGGCAAGCATTTCCCCTTCCGGAAGCTCTTTTAAGTTTAGTACCACAAAGGTCTTCACCAGATCCTTAATTTTTTCTCCACGACTTTTCAAAGTCGCAGAATGCATCAATAGGTGGAGGTCATTTCTTCGCGTAATTAGGTTTAACATTTTTACGAATTTTAACAGTATGTCTAGTATTTAATGCATTTTACTGAAGCAATCATTCTTTTGCTCCCAATTTAGGAGCAGCTATGCTGTTTGTTGCAACGGAAAAGGCGCTTTTTGCATTGAAGGTCCCCAACTCCAATCAAACTTGCATATTTGTGTCGAAAATCCATAAACGGGCACGAACGGGAAGCAGATCTGGACTTTCCAGGAGGATGAGTGTGCAGTGGGTAGAAGTGTCTGGATTGCCAAGAATCACAGAAGAGATGAAGAATTTCATTTGCAAAGCTCTTATTCCTAGTCCAAGTGAATCTGTGTTGAAAGCATCCCTAAGTCGACTGTTTGGGCGTGGGAATGACCTCTTACAATCACCAGCTTGCGCATGCATTAAAGCCGGGTCACAAGCAAAGGCGTAAAATTCTCTCTGAAGTTACGGCAAAAAAAACTTGAAAAGGACGACCTTGAAAACTGTCGTGTTTTCAGTTACGAGGCCTCACATCGTACGAAAATGAAAGTGACCAGGTAGATATTTGCACTTAGTAGTTCGCACGAAGGAGACTCACGAAATGCAAATGTGTTTCGCATCCTCTCGAGGAACCGTGTGGCCGGACAGGATCATCTGGCTACTTGGTGACATAGAGGCAAATGAACATACTTAGTTCAGTTCTCAAGAAGGTAGGACACTGCCACTCTGGAAACTCCGGGTGCGAGCACGTCTCAACTTGCTGCCGCCACTAAGATGGTGACGAAGACATCATGATATTGAAATAGTCCTCACACTCACTTAACTTGACACAGAAGTATTTCATTCTGCGGGGTTATGTGAAAGAATCGGCGTATGTCGCGACACTTTCGACATGTGTAGAAGGACTCGAGGAGAGAGGTACCGATTCAATCATGAGTAACATGAATCACCAACTTATGTGGAATGTAAGACGCATTTGTTATAGATTAAGTGCCCGTCACCAAGTTGAAACTTTGTCCAACAAGTTAACAACCTTCTTCAATTTCACTGATGTCACAAAGACAAGGAGATATCGAGCAATTGACTACTCTGACCAACGATGACGGCTCGCATTACTTCGGTCGATTGACTTTGTGAGACTAGCTGTTTTCCACTAGGGCATGCATTCCCGTTTATTGATTATTGTAAGCCCATGTTAGACAAATTTCACCAGTTTCACAGCAGTGTAAAGAGGTATTTATTAATTTTTTATAGTTACAAAAACACTCTTAGCGGTCTACAACACGACCACTTCTGTCAGGGTAGACGGTTTACGGTAACGTCACAAAACACTGTGTTTATTCCGAGTGACACAATGTAAAAAATTCTTGATTATTAGTCCACAGCATCATACGGAGATCGCGTTAAAATTGCACTTTTCCAAAAAGTTAGACTTCACGTGGGCAAACGTTAACCAAACACGAAAATTCAAAATTTAATCACATGAGAATTAAAAGTGTACTCAATGGCCTTGGGCATTTGGGCTGCATCAATGGTGCACAAACTCGAACTGCCTGTTGTGCGATTGTACTTTATCAACACGCACACGCGCACACACACACACACACATGTCACGTCAGTGGGCATTCAAGCCGTTATGCACGCGCACAATAACCTGAATGCTTTCAACGCTTCCAGCGAGGGCTCAAATGTACTTAAACATTAGGCCCGATTTCATGGCTTCGATCCAAACAGAAACCGTTAAGGTCCTACCAGACGACTGAAGATTTTGACTGCATCGACTCCGTCAGTAAAATTTGTACTATTTCAATCCAAACTCAGATTTTGTAGTTTACACTAAACTCTGTGCTTTGGGGTGTCAAAATCGACAGGAACTAGCAAGACTCATTGCGCTAGTTGATTACCAGGTGATTGAAAAGTATGCTTCCTTGCCATAGTCAGTGAGTTTGCATAGTACACATTTAGTGTGCGCACACTTCATGGCCTCTTACACAAGTCAGAGTGGTAGGTGATTGAAGTCATCAATCACCACGGCACCTGGAAATACACAATTTGATCGATTCATGGGAATGCCTCTCAGTGAATGATGCATAGGAGATCATGATTGGGGGGAATTTAGATGGATGTCCCTACATTTACAACCTCAAACTACTCTCCACAGAGGTCGTAGAAAAGCGGTCGCTGCATTAGCTTTACTGCCGTGGAGTTGGAGCTCCCGGCCACACATACGCAGCCCATTCCTGCTATGGCTAATCGACGCTTTTGACCAAACCACGTCGGCAAACAAACTTTTAATGACTTAGTAACCGAAAACTCAGGTAGCATACAATGCTTACCCTACGTACTTACCCAAAACAACTGACACGATTGTGGAACCCCCAAGTCAGTGGGGCCACTCCGAATGGGCCTTTTTCTTGTCTGGGGTTTTGGGGACTCACCTGGAATTCGCATCTAGTAAAATCCGATGACCCATTTCAGGGTTGTCACGAGCACGCGGTATCTTGCTGAGGTGTGGAACCAATAAAAGGATACAACACCGCAGGGCCATTCTTAAACCGCTGCATCCGCATTTGAGTGATGTGACTTCGAGTGGCATAAACCTATTTTGATTGTAGCGATTTACACATTACGTATTTTTGCATGTGCTCACATTTTGTGGGACATTTCAAGGTCGTGTCAAGTGCACAGGAAGGCATCCACACCAAGAGCGTAAACTCACAACTAACTACAACGCGAATATCCGTCAATTACAAAATAATCGAGCCAAAGCTAAGTGGGTTCAGAGGGTCAGTGACCAATGTTTAATGGCATGAATAGCATTCATTTTTAAAGCAGGCAACCAGCACCTAAACAGACATGTTTAAAGAATATTGCATGAAGTGATTTTTGACCACTGGATCTCCAAGGAACCTATTAACTCAGAATAGCCCGTCGTTGTGCATTAAAACACTTAGCGTTGAGGAAATGGAGGGTTCGCATGGTCTCAATTTTAGACTTTGAGGGGTAATCAGAAGTTGGCACTTTCCGCTTATCACCTGCTACTAATTGGATGGAACAGATCTGTGCCAAATTCTTTTAAGGCATCAGGCCATTAGCACAACCACAATCGAATATTTGACAGACCTCTCGACCAAATAGCGCAATTTCCCACATGTTGTGCCCGAATGCATGACACAACCCACAATAAAGCACTCGCATAGCGCAGCTGGTCAAGCCCAAGCCGGTCTCGCCAGGACAAGACTGTGGGTTCCATCGCTTCCACCATCGCCCTCGTCACAACAACGCAGCCTAGGCATTCCAGCCTCGCATCAATTCTCTGCCAGTTCACTGACCAAATGACACCGTCAACGAATTCGTTTACCTGTAACTTTACAAGGATCTTCAAAACCCTTCACTTGGTGAGCTGTGAAATGTGACGACACCTTGACGACATGCTCCAGTCAATTCTCTAGACTCTTTAATTAAAATTCGCTGGGCACGACTGCCATTAACACATCAATGGAAAGAAAAATGATATGCATGAGAAATAATTAACATTTCCTGGTATTTGAACAGACTGGGCGCGATTCCAAAGACAAAGTTAGACAAGCGTCTCGCCGTGTTAGGACGTCAACGCGAACAAGGGAGTGCTGGTATTGGAAGTCAAATCTATCTCCCCCTTCTCCGCCCAAAAAGAGCGGTGTCATGTCTACAGGAAACCCGATTAACAGAATCACGTGGGGCACGAGACTTGACATTACACACACGCAGTTCAGCATCGGTTGTAAGAATTTTCAGTCTCCTTACTTGGGGCGGAAGAAGGGAAGGGAGTACTGCATTGTCATTAAGTGCGTTATGGCGCGAAAACATTCACCACAGAATATGCTTCCACGATTATAGATATATGCATTTTTAACACCGACGCATACACTTTCGGTCTCCAAGGCAAATCTAAGACCAACTTCCTCTTACGAAAATGTCATTGGTTCTTTATGAAGCTATTTAAATTTCCAAAATATTTCCAAATGTTTACAATACCAAACGAAATCTGAAATGGGTAAAAAAACCCGACAATAGTACCTTTACAGTGAACGAACCCAGTTTTTCTGAAAATAGAGAAAATTTCAAATTAGTGGTCATAAATTAACTGACCACCTAGGTATTGCCCGAGCCTTTAACCACTAGTCTGGAAGCTCGGAATGCCCTAATAATCTCGACTTGAGACTAGACCCAACTGAATAAACCAGTAGGCGGAGCCGTCCTAGATTCAGAAGTCACCACACCCACCCCTGACATCGAAACTGAAGGGATGAATGGAAAGGTAGGAGGCGAATTCCGTTGATCTGTTATTAGGCATCTTACTTATATTTGCATTAAGTAATGTGGTCCAGAAGCCAGAAGACCCAAGCAGAATGATAATAGTGTACACACACGCACACTCAAGGGGGGGGGTTTGAGAACCCAGGCGCGTGGCGAAATTGACCTTGGAACAGTCTGCATCACTCCAGCGGGCGGAGTGGGAGGCGAGGGAGTAAACCGAAATTCACTACTAGTTCGCACAGACATCCACCTTAGTGCATATCAAAACAAAAACAAGGGAATGAAGCTAAGCGTGGTGAGCGCACACGTTCGTTGAAGGGAGTCTGATTGTGAGGAAAGAGAGGTGGGAGTAGGAGAAACAAATGAACACCGAGTCCGGTGACATCCGGACGGATGGTAAATAAGAACTCGCGGCGTCTGTGCGATTGGGCAAAAGAAAACAGCAAACAAAAGCGTGCAGCGGCGGCAATTCATATCTTGGGTAACTTTGCGGCGGTTATGACGGGATTGCTTTCACGAAGGTATCGTCTTGCGTCTGCCTTGTAGTCAAAAGGGCAGGCGTGAAGTTCAGCGTAGCGATGTCTTGAGCAGAAATTGCGTTCGCATCTGAAGTGCAAAAAAAGTGCAAAGATTAATTGCCAAATGTCCTAGCAAACCAACGAAACGTCTGACTAGATGATCAGGGACCGGCGCCTATAACTGAATGGGTCTGCATTGGAGTCCAAATAGACATCCAAGGCCCACGGCAAAGGAGGCACTGGCAGGAGTTTTGACGCAAATTTAGAGAACCAATCAAACCGAGCTCGTCCATACAAAGGACCACGGTACTGTGTTGACATCGTTTGGGAATTTTGTTTTCTAGAATCACGTCAATGCACCATTTATGGCTCTATTCATAAAAACAGAAAGCGAGACTTATAAAAAAGCCATATGTTATGATAACAATAAGTAAAGATAGGAATTAGTAAAAAACAGAAATTGGTTGAACAAAAACAAATCATAGAGGAACAAACGTGTTGCAATATGAGTGGAGACAATGGACAACGGAGCCCCTGTGCACGATGTTATCCCGACCGTGACTTCAACCAAGTAGTTACCACAAGGGTGATTTGGCGTTAACCTGGGCGTCAAACATGGGCTAGGTTCTTCCGAGTGGCGGATTCAAAAGACCCCAGAAAAACCGATCAGCTTGGTCTCGAACGCTCAATGCGCCACTGAGAGATGGGCACAAAGAAACTGTAGAGAACGACGGAATTTACAAACCTGCAGGTGTAGGAGTTGGCGAGACCAGTCTTGCGGTTGCAGCTGGCGCATCGATTGGCTCTGGGCGATCTCCGAGGGGGCTCGGACATATCCTGTCTGGACTTCGTGGGAGAGGAGGGCACGGCGTGGTGCTGCTGCTGCCTGTCGTCGTCCTTGCTTCGTACAGAGGCACGACTAGAAGCTATAAGAAGAAAACGAGTAATAAACCAAGTTAGCTCAAGAACTCCACGCAAGCGTTAGACTGGTGCGGGAGAATATTGCTCTCCGAAGGGCGTTAACGTCCCAGACAAGCCCTGTGCTATCATCAATAAACGTGCGGCGTAAGAAGCCGGTGAAAAAGCCGGTATACACTTAGAAAACCACCTCCGCTTTCGACACAGTTTGCAATGTGGTCGAACAATGTGCAAGAATGCAATAATAATAATAATAACGAAGATTTCAACCCACTGTTACGAACAATAGACGTAAAAATTAGTTGAACACGGTTGAAAGCAAAATGGTCCGTGAAACGATTTTTGAGACCAATTATACACATGAATCTGCATCAGGGAACGGGATCTATTCACGAGGGGGCAGTGTCGATAAATTTTGAACAAAGCTTTAGCAGTCTACTTCAGGTCCCACACTGACACCACCATGCACCTCCTCACACGCGAAAACGAAGTCTCGTAGTGACCCTAAAAAGACCTCGTGCAAACAACCACCCGAAGTAAATGTTGCCGCTATTGGTTCCTCTGTCATCTGTGTACAAATACGATCACTTCGACGACACGGTTTCACTAGAGCCTGCACAATGCAACAATGTCTGCCATATACAGACAGATTGAAAATGTAAGTTGTGTAGACAAAATAACCTTAAATCCGCGTGGTGGAAACAAGACATTAGGGGTAGTGACTTTCGTGAAGTAAGCAGAAAGTAACCCTAGACACACAAAAAAGGTAGTCGCGTAACAATACAAGTCAGAAGTCTATTATGTATAAATGATATTCTGACATCAAAAGGCATTTTATTTAACAAGGCATTGTATATTCAGTGAACACAAAAACCGACCATGAGCAAAACGTCCTTTCTGGACGCAAATACTCAAAGAATGCAACCAGGCTGGTAAGCGTGTTTGAGCATTATATGATTAAATGGTTTCGATAGTTATTAAGAATGGCAAGCTGCGAAATTCTGGAACCTTCAACAGTGGCGGAAACCGGTCTTTGAAGCTGGTATTGCTGTATCTCAGTGTCCGTGTGCGTGGATACTTGACGAAAATGCTCCTATTTACACGCAAGTAGTAAATAGTCACTGTATTCACACCATTGAAAAAGTGCGGAATATGAGTACAGGTTTGTACATTTACCATGTAAAGCCCGGATCTCAATGTACTTTTAACTGTTTTCTACTGCTTACCTTCTAAATTACTAGCGGGCCTCCCGCGAACACTAGACGGAATTGGTGGAAGGGGAACCACATCTGCCGCCGGCACAGATGATCCAGAGGGAGCTTCGTTCGAGGCCTTCCTCACCGTTGGCGACCTCCCTCGGATTATTTCTGCATCACACTGGGGCGTGGAGACGAAGCCGATGAAACGGGAAGCAGGGGTTAGAGTGGTCGGTCGAAGCAGCCGTTCACGCTCAACGGCGGGATTTGGTGGGAAGAGGGGGGGAAAGTGCCTCTCGGTAACAACCGTAGGCTTCGTTTCAAGAGATGATAATCGATCTGAGTCGACAATCTTGGAGATATCAGGCGGTTGAACTGTTCCGAACCGACGTTGTCGAAGGCCACCACCAGAACCAAGACTAAAAAGAGTGATGCCAGAAATGCATATTACATCGAGTGTATCGAAGCTTCCAGCAAAATTCAAAGCAGGACTAACAAGCAATTTTTAAAGCAGTGGTTATGTTGAGCAATCTTTTCAGATATGCGGATGAACAGTGTTTAGTAAATTGGCAGAAAATCGGACGTGTTTTGATGAGGCACATTGGAGATCAACAAGCTCCGTAATTATTTTTCTCAGGATATGTGACCTTTAGGCTTTGCTTATAGTGACCGAAAATTAGAGGACATCACCAATACGTGATGTAACAAATAACTTGGACACACATTCACGAAAGAACACAAGAGAAAAACTACTACCGAGGAAATTCAGAAAATCAGGCGGAGTGATCATTTACAGCAAGGACCATGGGCTGTATAACAACAGCAGAATCTGGCAAATAATGGCGCAGGCCCCACCTAGCGAGCACGTCGCTCTGAGTGGCTAAAACTTCTTCCTTAGAACCACCCCATCAATCGCAAAGCCATTTGATCCCCCAACCCCACTTGTCTTAACTGTTTCCTTCGGTTATATCGCTTTTGGCTTACAGGTATTTATTCACGCATGGTTGAGATGAGACAAAAAAGTTGCTTGCACTTCTAAAGTACTGGAAACTTGGGCTTTCGATTTCCATGTCACAGATTGAGGGGTTAATTTATCGGATAGTGAAGAGGCCCTTAAATGACAACAGCTGAGTCCATTTGCTAAGGAATTTGAGTGTGACACTTATTTCTGCCTCCAAGTCTAACCACAGAGTAAATAACTGATGATCACAACACAAGAGAACGCGACTGTTTTGGGCATATTACCTCTACCAAAAGAGAGACGCACCAAAATACGGAAGTAAAAGACTGTTTGAGGCATCGTGGCCGCAGGTTACGCTGCATTCACAAATACACAAGTCAGGTGATAGCCTACAGTGCCAACTGATGTTGATGACGTGAGATAGCCACCACACCAAATGTCAGTACCATGACACATTTTCCCGGTCAACCACTGAATAGATAGGTCGGAGAATTCTGAAATTACGCGTTCGATTCTCGATGAACATTAAGTTAGAGCAGATGATTTTTTTATCAATTATAAATATTATATACAATGAAACGACTTTTTGACCCGTGATCTACTGGAACGAAACATACGGCATATATTTCGATATAAGTGATGCATTGGAAATCTGCATCCAAAATATACAACTTGATGCCACAAATCGGATGTCCATGAGACAGCAACAAGGGAACACGACTTACTCAGACCGACTGAAGCCGCCCGAGAAGCCGGGGATGACAACAGCAGCGTCCAAGTTGGTATCTGAGGTGGTTTTGGCTGGCGCGGTGCCTCGGGGCCTGGTCCCAGAGTTGTTGGATAACGATGCAAAGCGTTTGGAGGGCAGCAAGAGGGAGTCCGCACAAGAACGGAGAGTGTCCGCTGAGGAGTCGGATGTGGCGGTGGCTGTGGGCAGGTCAACAGCGGATGTAGTAGTGTAGGGGCGACGGTATTGAGAAATGAAGGGCACCTTTTTAAAACGTTGGCTATTGAGCCAAGAGGAACGAATTTTTGGTGTGTGGAGGGTGGCGACGGGAGGAAGTGTCGGATGAACGTCTACACGCGAATATAAACGGAAACGCCACTTTCATACTTATTGAATCTCGGGTGCAGAGAGCGACGTGGAGTACAAGAACAAAATCATCTGATGCTTCATTGAATATGCATAATTACGAGCATGCAAGGGAGATTTACCGCATAATTGATTACAAGTCAACTAAGAATTAAGATAAATGGTTTCGATAAATGCAGCATTCGAGCGAACAGAACGATCTATTTAATTATGCCTTCAAAAGTACCAGAAATATAATATGATCGTTAGAGAAGTTAAGGTATACGGGTGCCCTATGTCGGGCCGAATAAACTCCCTAATGAACTTCTACAATTTTTGTGAATTATTAGGATACCATCTGCAGTTGACTTAATTTGTGCATTTTGTCCTCGAGTTTAAAATTATTTAAAAGAGAAACACTTTTGCGGTCTTTTGTGGTTTCAAGGGTTTCAGACGCGAAAAGTCTACGAATTTGACGAAGAAAAAGTGCTTCAAAAACGCGGGTAATCAATTTGCTGTTCTTAGTGCTACCGACGTTGTGTGCTGTGAAACGTATAATTTATGGTACAAATGTTTTAGAAGTGTTTTTGGTCTTAGTGACCAGCCGCGGCCCGAACAGCAGCCTCGAAAGTGCGACGATGTATAAATGCGATCTCTACTGGATGAAAACTCAACGCAAACGCAAGAAGAACTTGTAGCAGCTCATTTAGAAGTCACCCAAACACCTATTTCTAAGCGTTTGCACCAAATGGGAAAATTTCAATAACTTGGAATGTGAGTGCCACACGCGCTGGCCGAACACATCCCAGGTCAACGTATGACACATGTCTTCCACTGCTTGCCTGTCGGCAACAAAAAGACTTCATGTGAAAATTGTGACAAGTGATGAAGAGTATACTTTTCACGGAAATCCCAAACGTAAAAAGTCGTGGTTAGATCCCGAGCAACTTAGTACGTCGATGCCGAAACAGGATAGACACTTGAAGAAGGTGCCTCTGTGTACCTGGTGGGACACGAAGGGTGTACTTTATTATGAATTCCTGGAAACTGGGCGTCAGACAGTGACCGCGCAACGCTACAACCGACAATTGGACGAACTGTGCAAAGGACTTGAAAAAAAGCCATTTAGTGAGCAAAGCATGACAACGCCTGACCTCAAATTGCTCACGCGACTCAGAAGACCCACTTGCACTTGAGACGGAAGGTTCTACTACACGCGGCATATTCACCAGGCTTGGCCCCATTCGACTACCATTTGTTTCGGTCAATGCGACAGCACGCCCTAAAGGATAAACAGTTCAAAACGCAGAATGATGTGCGCAAATTCGTCGATTTTATTGCCTACAAGTTTATCTCGCGACGTATTCATAGGTTACCTGAGAGATGGCGTAGTCAAAGAAAACGATGGGCACTATTTACAGGATTAAGTTCATTGTTCCCTATTTTTAATGTTAAATTTGCTGGAAAATTCTTACGAATTAAGGCATACACTTAATAGTACAAATTTATCAAATATGCCGATAAAATACATTAAGAAACTAAATGCTTTCCAAAATTTACCAGTTAAGTTGCCATACCTTTTGGTCAAATATGGCTGCTCACTTTACTAAAAGAAATGTTAGAGATATAATACATCGATTTTGATATGAAATACCAGAACGACCCACTCTTTACCTAACTTAAATAACAAGTAAGCCACAAAAATTAACTTTTTAACTAAATATTGAGTTAAAACAATGCTAGACACTTTCAGGACACCCCATTTGGCGATTAACGAATCCATTCATTTACCACAAGGCGACAATCAAAGGGATGTCAGCGAAACTTGACGGCATTGACGGATTGCCGAACAACTGAATAACACCCACGGACGAGTAAAAATGGACGACAACTGTGTTTAACCAATTAATCACCCGGCAAAATGTTGGAGTAGGCTTTTAAAAGTAGCCACCTACCGTACTAATTTAAATTGACTGATTATGATTGTAACGAAGTATTATTTCCAGGTTAACCCATTGATTTTGATATAAAGTCCAAAAGGGCTCATTGGTCAAACATGAAGGTAGTTAAAAATTTGTTTTGGCAACCTTATTCTGAGACAGTGCCAGGCACGGACAGAAAATTAGAGCATAACAAAACGGCTAAGGGAAACGTGAACGTGCCCTCGAGATGCTAACAATTAGATAAGGCAAAGGCTTCAGAATCCGCCCGTGGGGCTTGAAGAGTGCATACGGAGACGGTGTGGTGTGCGGAGGACTCGCTCTTGGGTCTAGACAAGTGTAGTTGAATGCGGTGTGGATAATAGCAGGACACAAGCGACATTAGTTGGGGACCGACGCAAAAGAACCATAGAAAATCTGCCTAGCACCCATCCCGCATTGAGTTGTGGTGAAATAAAGTCAAATGAAGCACGATCTGAATGTAGGCCACCCAACTACTACACTTCAACGGACAAACAGGCCGTCCCATCGTTACCAGTGGCAATTTTGGTGGAAATGATCCAAGATTACAAGGATGGGGATGGCATTAATGCAAAGTGTGTAAATACGTGGGATTTTGCATTGAGAAAGATGGTGGGAAACGCCGATAAATAAAAAAAAAACAAGCATCATGAGAAGCCAACCTTAACGGAATCCGCCCTGTAAGTGGGACTTAAAACATGAACTACACATGAAAGTTATAGGTCCATGGATTTTCAATGGCACAGAAGTTAGCACATTCTCCTACGCACACTTGAGCACAGTCGACTTGCGATGCAGCGAGCTCCCACTACAAATAACAAGATGGGTACTACATTTTGCCTTTCTCAATAGTTGAATTTGTGCAAAATGCAACAAGTTCGCAAGTTGGTCAAACTACCACAAAATCATCTACAACAATCCGCGCACTTTGCAACCTTCCAGCTTAACTATACGTCCATGCGTACTTAAACACGTTCTTTCCACTTTTGCGATCGTATTTCAATTACTCGATGGATATCAGCCATAGAAGAACTGTGCTTTCGGAATCGGAAAGCTGACCTTGTTCTATTAACGAGGGTTTACTCGCTTGCTGTCCCGAGATACCAGACAGTTTAACTAGAAGCATCCTCGATTAAAGGTTGGCCCAATCTTAAACTGATTTAGAATAGCCCCATATGCTAAATTATCAACTAATTACGTAAAGAGGCTGGTACGAGATGTTATCCAGATTTTAATCCGATTTCGTCGTTTTACATTAATGGACGGAGAAGGGAGTGAGCGTGGTGTTGAATTAGGCCGACATAACCAACCATGGTGACCCAACAACACCGTTAGAGCTAATGGAGAGGGGTGAAAAAGTAATAAAAAAACAGGTTGTTAAAGGTTTTTCACTCTGCGAACCTCGAATACGTAGAACTTGGGTGGTAGAATGCGTGACGAAGAGCGAGAAGAGAAAGCCGCTAGCTTACAGCACCACACTTGATTAGTCGAGTAGTCGAACATTACAGTGTAGTATCGATAGTGGCAACTTTGATAAAGGAGACTAACAACGAAAAATGTGTTTCAAGAAATACCTATTAGAGCACGTGATTTATCGTTGAAGAAAACTAAAAAGTTTTAGAGAAATAAAGAACATGTCTTGAGAAACCATAAATAGAAATAAAAATTAGCTATTTCATTCACATAAGTGCATATTGATGCATCCTTATGTAGCGGCTCACGGCAGATTTGGGAAATACCGATACAACTTTCGTCAGTGCTCCATTTACACTCTCCACGAGGTAAGTAGCAGCGTTTTTTGACCGAAATTTGTTTATATGAATCACCATTGATTTGCCCGACGCAAGTGACAAAAGGATCTTGGTTGGGTTAAGAATCACGACTTTAAATATTGTCCCGATGGTTGGACTTGTCAGATGAATATTAAAGGATTTAAATGCGAACTACAACAGCAGAAAATGAGAAAGATAGCTTTGCCAGTGGCTTCACATTAAATACTCTCAAGTTGGTCACTGACCCCATCATTCCCTAAATGAACCAAACAACTTATGGGATCAAGAGAAGACAAAGTTATTAAAACACCAATGCAGAGGAGCAATACAAACCCATTTAAAATTAGAGCAATTTACTTAAATGAAACTAAAGTCATATCCGAAATTACCAGTGATGTGGTTTGAAAGCACCAATGCTTTTAACATTTACCAAGCATATTCCGAGCCGTTCCCCTCCCCTTGCGTTGTTCCAAGGCTCAGAGGCGACTCAGTGGGCGTGACACCGCTTCGGTACTCCTCTCCTTTAAACTACACTATGACTTGAAGTAATCGTGTCTATTTTACCACGGGACCCCAAGTCAGTAAACAAATACTGCTTACATTAGTTGGTTGAACTCGCGTCCTACTCATGCCAAGTCATGGGACATGCATATGATGACCATGGCAGCAACGGTTTTTCAAATTCTGTATACCAACATGACCCCACGATGATAAGTGCGCAAGTGGGAACACAATAACGTAAACCATTTGCATTGAAAGGAACTAAGGAACCACTACAGGTGGCATCGCTAATTGTACGGGGTGTCATACATTAGATTAAAACAGTCCCCACAGTAAAGTTAGTGTGAGGATTTAAAACTCCATTTTCCACATTCCAAATGACAGACAACGTCATCTAAGTATCTGCAGACCTCAAATGACGCCCTTATACACAGGTTAAAACAAACGGGCTATAATTAGCTCTGCACTACCGGTAGACAACCTTGAAAGTATTGGCAGAAGTGATTCGCTTCTTAAGAGTTAACCAAAAACTCCTGATCCACTTGTGATTCAAAGAGTTTTCAGCTTACAAAATACAATCGCGTGTTTTCGATTAAATGTGAAATTGAAGCATTTTTCCAACGTTCCAGTGGCGAAAACTCAGATTTCCCGCTATGGGGCTGGATTACACGAAACTCTCTAAAAAATTCCATGTCAATGATCCAGTTTGCGACAGGGTATTGAAAGAAAGTGACCTTTGTTACTACGTTAAATTATTTACGCCCAAAAGTACGCTTTCTTTAGGCGTTTATTTCAATAAATACAGCATTTATGAAAAATTGACTACCCATTTGTTTACGACTGCGCTGCGGAAAGTACTCTCCAATGGAACATGAGTCACGTGTCGATTAGAATAAAGTTAATGGGCGAAACTAGTGATTTGTTGTGGCACGAAAGTTCAGTGCATAGGTTTCGGTCTCTGATGTATCCACACAACACAATGTTCCCCAAAATGTTTCCGGAAACGCGCGGAAGTCTAGGTGTATATAGATACGAATAAAAGTATGAGAAACAGGACTTGTACATTAGACATTCAATGTGATCCGCACTTTTCAAACACTTGGGGCCACAAAGACAACTTTATTATGCTAATACCAAGATCACACTAGCACATAAATTTATGCCAAACAGAAATATGTGGGACTGACGTTGCATCAGATGGATACAGATGAAATGACCAATGGTAAATTGAAAGCTGTGGTCCAACACAGTTAAAGTCTGAATGAAAACCCAATGTATGAATGAGTGATAGAAGGGCTGAGTGCTGATGCAGATACAAAAAAGGAACTCACGAACTTACCTTTAGGTTTCGCAGGTTCATCCGAAGGTTGCGAGGCTTCTTTTTCTTCTCCCTTTTTAACTTCATCCGGTTGCTGCTTCTGTCTCCGCTGTAACCGACTCTCCTTTATCTGACAGAGCTGAGCCTTTATTGACTTTACTTTCTCCGCCAAAGAATCCCTTTCCTCGAGTCTTGATTGTGTCTTCCTCGGCGACTCGCCTTCCCCGCAAGCGTTCCTTCGAAAACCACCACGCAGGAACGCCGAATTCCTTCTCGCGGTGGGTGGACCAAACAATACATCACCCGATCGGTAGTAAAGGAAGTAGTCCTCGAGGTCCGCTAAGCTATCATCATCGTCATCCTCTCCATCATACCCACAAAGGAAGCGAAAATCGTCAGCCGGGGGTGGGGACGACGAGAAGTCACGATAGTCCCACTCTGGAGAGGGTGGACGAAGCCAATAAGTTGTCCCCCCGTTACCACCTCCACAGTCAGAGGATACACATTCGTCGGTATCAGAGTAGAAAGCGCTAGAATCTCGACCTCGTGTGGCATAGAGCAAGCCAGCGAGAAGAGCCGTTGCAGCTGATGCTGTGGACGGAGGTTGACGATCTGAAGATTTTTTGGATTCAGCGGCTTTGAGAACCGAGGGCTCGGAAGTTGTCGATGCGAGTTGCGGCAACTTCTCGCGGCTAAGCTTTGACGAGTCGGATTGGAGAAAAGGAAGAGATTGAGCGGCAATAGAAGTTGAGAGAAGGTTAGTGGACATAGCCTTTTTTGAACTAGACGAGCCATTAGACGCAACGGGTGGTTCACAAGATTCTTCTGGACCGAGAAGAGAAGTCGTGGAATGGCCATTGGAAGAATTGTCACAATGGGAGCTATTAAAAAAATCAAGTTATATCCCAAAACAATGCGCTAAAGTTGCAAAGAAGTTATTTAAAGCAGGTATTTGTCGAGGCGAATACAGGAACTACGCCCAGTTTAGAAGCAAGAAAAGTGAAGGGATAAGTTTGTTTTACATGATCGGTGTCACTGGTAGACTAATAAGTGCGAGGCCAACCCTATAGCAAGGAAAACAAATGAACCAGAAAGTCCTATAGTACGAACGACAACTCTTACTTGAATTATGACGTGAAATCGTGTAAGGGACCTTTGAGAAACCACAATGTTTTCCACCAACTTCAATACAATTCAGAAATCAAAGTATTACCCATCAACCACTCGTAAGAGGTCCAGATTTTCACCGCTGTTGAAAATGAAAAAGGTGATGTGCTTCTGACTTTCTGATTCACCATCGTCCTCCTTTCCCCTCTCTAATTGAGGTACTGTTGGTGATGGTTCTTCATTTTTACTGTCCCCGGAATTATTTTTCTTCTGAGAAGTAGGCGATGCGGCGTGTGGCAGTTTTGATGCCGTAAAGTGGATGGTTGGGGTAAATTTTATCGCAGCGGCTGCCGCGGCAACTGGTGGTCTGTAAGCGTTAATTGGTCCTCCTCGCATTCCCAACACAAGACGCAGAGTGGCTCCTCCTGGGATGCTGCAGTCTCGCAGAGACTGATGATCTGAAAGCTCATCATTTTGCCAGATCAAGTGCTGTTGGCCGACTGGGATACCTGAAATTGACAGAGATAATAATTTGTTAAATGTTAGAGACAGGTGTGCTAGATACGAAAACATACCCTCGACCCTCTGGATTTTCGACTTGATTGACATGACGGTATCATTTGGAGAAACGCGGAGCTCAAACGCTGTTCCTGTTAGAGTTTCGATAAAAAGATCCATTGTGCCTTTATTGGGATAGATTGGACATATTCTACAAGTAATAAGTTAGATATAGTATGCAATAACAAAAAATCCTAAAAATGACCCACACATTTGACGAGAGCGAATTATTGCCCCTTCTCGGATGAACAACCCGAAAGGATTTACAGGTAATGGATAAAGGGATCAAGGAAGAATCAGTAGCGGCCGAGAACTTAAATGGAGGCTTTTGATGAAGCTTCTGGTCACGTTAAAAACAATTTATCTTTTGATCAAAATAGCATCCAACTGCAATAAACTAAATCCCGAACAATATTTTATTTTGGGAGTAACGAAGGTAACTGATATTATTACTAAAATTAGGCCATTAGACCTGACCTTGAAAAAACGACACCTTTTAACCCTGCTTTGTTGTTCAATTGGGGATGTGACCAGAACTAATTTGTAATCTCCTAATCAATGATTGCAAAGCCAAGTCAAAGTTATGGCGATCGGAAAATCAAGCAAAACGGTTACGAGAAGGTTAGGGATTTTAAGTACACACAGCTTTTATTGTGCAGGCAATACACGGTTTTCATTCCACGTTCATTTCATATAAATTTGGGAAATTAAAAAATTATTCCCACCAAAAATGCAATACAGAAACATGTAAGATACTTCAAAAGAATTGAAAAAGGGGTATCACTGGATAAACTCATGAATTTTGGCATTATGTAAAATTGAGGCACGTGCTTGTTTAATATAGCAACATTCAAAAACGAATGCCTTCGAAAATCATCATAGAAAAAGTTTAAATGAAAGTAGAAAGCAACTTTGTACAACCAAAAGGGCAATAGTGAAACTGAAAATGCTTGTATCGAAAAATTAGATACTACATACAAACGAACAGCTATGTTAAAATTTAAGCAACACAGGCCCAAATTTACCCAACAAACATGATTGAACGAAATAGCTAGAAGAACAGATTAAGAGGCAGCAGTTAAACCAAAAACATAAAAAGCAGGTAAGATTTCGGTCCTCTGGCAAAATCTAAACAAATAGCTACAAAAAATGGGAGGCAGACTAGTCATAATGCTTACTAAACTCAAATGTTCACCAAGACCCACGTAATGGCGGAAAAGAGGCTGGTTAGCCCACATATGCCATGGAACCATTTGCCTGATTGGTTTAAACAGTTGCGGATATCTCAAAAACCTCCAAAATAAAGAGTTATGATACTGTGACAAAGAAAACAATAAAAATTGACCCAAGCTTTCCAATTTACTGATAGAATTAAAAGATTCACGCTACAATTAAACCAAATTTGAGCAAGCTTTACACAATTTGCTCGATCCGAAAAGCAGTCGACAAGCGATTGGTCAGGTTGCAAATCATTTTGTAAATTAACCTGTACTAACAAAATATTCTGAAACAATCGACTGCACTCAGAGTCTGTGGATCCAAAAAAAGTTTTAGAAGGAAAAGTAGTACGAAAAGGTTATAATAATATTAAAAATTGCCAATTTTTGTATTCAAGTAACTGCTTGATGAAAATATCGAAAATGTCATTAGGCAATGATGATGACAGTGAACTGCGAACTGAAATAATGAGATATGATCGGTTCAACGTATCTTCTATAAATTCATATCATCTTTTGTAATTTTTTTCCAGTACTTTTTTAAATGCACAGTTATTAATTCCACATGGATTGTTACTATGTAAATAGCCATTGAGCTACAGTATTGTTTAAATTAATAGTTGCGATAAAAATTCGTGAAACTAACTTTATTCATCATAGTAGGTTTAACGGGCCTAAACTTAAAGATGTTTCGTAAAGAATATACCTCATGGACCTAAAATATACATAACCTCCTTTGATTATTATCCCAATTACTTACTTTAAAATAAATGCAGTTGTAACATTATTTTCGTCTCCATTCTTATTTTAGGTAAAGTGGAATCATTTACCATAAAGTTTTGCTTTTGTTCAGAAATTTACTATCGTAATTAAGGGCCACCTACGTTACTTACCAAAACGTCCTTAATTCATCATCGGAATTATCCTGGCATGATTTCCTCTCATAAAATTGTTATAATTTATTTTGTTTTTAGGAAGATTTAATCACGGTTTTAAGAACAACAAAAGGCCGTTTCTGTTTTGCCTTTTAAAGTACCGTCACCTAAATAACCACTAGGAAAGTTATGCCCAATTTTGCAAACAAATCTAAGTTTAGTTCATTTGTCAATTACTTTAAAATCACAACAACTTACAAGGGACTTCAAGCCTGGCACATAAAATCATATTTGCTATGTAGTTTCTAAAACAATAGATATATTCAAAGCAAAGTGTTACAAAACAAAAAAATTTTAGAAGAAGTGAAACTGGATTTTAACGGTCGCGCGACATGTCAAGCACTCGTGACGCTGATTTAGAGTTTCAATTTTTTTAAAATTTTAATTAGGTGCTTTAGTTTATGTCAATTATCAATTGCTGTATTTATTACTTGTTCAATGAAACCCAGCATTTAATTTTAACGTTACTTTATCTGCCTGAATTATAAATGCTCGCATTCGTAGAGTGAAAACTTTTTGCATTAATGTTTAGTTCCGTCATAAAACCGAAAGCTTACTCTTATTAATGACGCGATAAATTTTATGTGAAATACAAATGGTAACTTTCGTTGACATATGTAAGCAACATTGCTAAGTGTTACTTATTTATATTGCATGACATTACCTTATTCATTCTGTGATGAATCTGTTTTACAGTTCTGCAACAATGCATCCATGTTCAAAGCAATTATGCACCAACCATGAATTACCTGTTTGTCTTCATCAATTGAACAATTCGTTCCAGCAGTGTTAGTTTCCTTTTTTATACGAAAAGGAAAATCAAAACCTCAGTCTAAAAAAGCTGTTGATGTATTGCCTTAAAATTACAAATTGGCTGTCGGCGCAACTGGCCTATGTTTCACGGAATTGACAGTGATTACGAGATAACGAACCGATTCACACAAAAATCCCAAGCAAAGTTTTGAACATTTTCTCATGGCTATTTGCACTTATTAGGAGACATGTGGGAATTTATACGCACTAAATGCAAAAATCACACATTATAATCGATAAATCTTTTGATTAGTATTTTAAACCGAACCTGTGTCATGATAAAAGTTTTTAAGCAAAGTTTATTAGAACTTTTGCAAATTTTTTTAAAAATGCAGTTAAAATTCCCGAAACATTTAAACACATACAATTTTCGAAAATTTCTATGAACTCCGATTGTCATTTACTACGATATTTTAGATTACTACTGAAACTTTTTGCTTGTAGTATTTCCACAGCAGATATTTAGCCCAAATTTTTAAAAAAATTATTTAATTTTGCATGTTTTTCTGCCTTTACGCGAAGTAAATTTGCCGTTTAATGCTGGGTTCTTGATACTCCCGGTTACCTATTTGACTCTAACTCGATTGCAAACAAAATCGCTAATAACCCAGCAATTGAAACATTGAATTTTCTCACCATTCTCTATTTGTATGTTGAAATAAAGTCAAACCAGCACAATAAAAATTAGGTAGGTAATGCACGGGTTTTGTCTCAAGGTCTGTAGATATATGCAATATATGCCATGCACATTATTTAATGAAATTGACCGCATTTACAGAAAACGTTTGCTTCGCATTTTCTTAGTTTAATGAATTGCATTAAGTAGTCCATTAATCTCTATGAAATTTTTTTTAATCACAGTACAAAATAATTTGTGGGAGCACATTAAATATTTGTCATGATTTGCTTTTAAATTTATTTTCTTAAAAACTTACTTATAAAGATGCAGATGTCCCCGCAATTTCCTTGCAGAATTACTTCCCTTGTGCAAAGTAGTTGCAATAGTTTAAGTTTATTAAAAGCGCGCATTTCTTAAGACCATTTGTAATGTCGGCGCTTTCAACGAAGGTTTGGTGTCGATTTCATCTATTTGTTTGTAGATTTCAGTGTTATCGGCACTTGCTAGGAGACCTTTATGTCGTGTTCCTTCACTTGCAGTGACGTCTACTCGTCCTGTATCTGGGAGACCGGCGTTTGTACAGAAGCTGTACGACAAATTGGATGCCCTGCCGCGTAGCATAGATGAAGAAGGAAAGGTTGGGGCCAATTTGCCCTTTAGTATTGAAAACCCTCGGCTTTTGGCTTTAAAGATAATACTGTTTATCGGGATCGCCTTCAATTTGCCTTTCTACATTATTTACCGTCAGATGAAATCTGCTAAGGGCGACTAAAAGTAATCCGTAGTTATTACATTCTCAGGAGTACTCCACTCGTCTAACTTATTTTACTCGACTACATATTCAATTTAATCTGTTTGCCATATAAGATTTTCGCTAGATGCGTTTTTTATTCTTCCACATGGTAAATTAATTTCCTTCGGAGGTTGTTTTGTAGCGAAGATTACTTCTTTCTCTTAAGCTAGATTCGTGACGTTTGCGTCTTAATCAGGCTTCTGGTCGAATAATGTGCCTCCTTACGGTATATTTTGTATTCATAAGTGGCGTACATGAAGCGTAAATATTCATTGTTAACGAAGCTGTTCAGTCTAGGTAGTGCCGCCGATAGTCAAACTGAGAAAATAGTATTTGCCCAAATAGAAAAGCAGCTTCTATGTTCCACGTATGCGTGTGTGACACTGACGTAGTGTGGACATGACCAAGGCACCTTTGGCCTCGTTTGGTGTCACAGCTGACGAAAGGTGTGTGGTAGCGTAGGTTGGTGTCTAAGGTTGACTCGACTGCGTGGTTTGGTACTGAGTGACAATAAAGTCACCATTAGCCGTAGCTCTCTTCAACCTTCTTGGAGTAGTGTAATCCCCAGATGTAAGCATGGGGCATGTGGTTCCTATTTCTAGGGGTGATGAGGGCCGATGTTGTCAAAATGGAAGCCATGGTAGGTAGCCAGTGAGCAGATGGATAATGTGTGGCCGCTTAAAGGTCTAGAAGTGTAAGAGTCCGCGGTTCCTGTAACATTGGTTCCTGATGTGTAGTACGAG